TCGGAGGTTAAAATAACAAGGCAATGTTGGCGAGCCATTCCAATTTCACTCTGGCGGAGCTCACTGAAGCCCTTCGCAAGTGTAACAAAAAGAGTGCTCCTGGACCGGATGGTATAACCTACCAAGCGCTCAGAAATGTCGATCCTGCCTACCACCTTGATGTTCTTAAAAAACTGAACCTCGTATGGACAACCGGCATCATTCCTGAGGCATGGAAGGAGTCAACTATCATCCCAATACTCAAACAAGGGAAACCGGCCGCGCAGCCGTCGTCTTACAAACCAGTCTCAGGCTTACAAGTTGTGTCGGCAAACTGCTTGAACAGATGATCCTTCGACGTCTCACCTGGCTATTGGATAGGATAAAATCGTTTCCACCAGAACTAGCAGGCTTTCTAGTAAAAAGGTGCAGCGGCGATGCCATTGGAGATCTCGCGTCAACCCTCGAGGAGACAAAAGCTACAGAAAAGATGGTACACTGTATTTTAGACACCAGTCGTGCATTTGACACTCTCCCTCACTTCACCATCATCCACCGGCTGAAGACTCGGAATTGGTGGACGGATTCTTTCCTTTATCAAGGCGTTCCTTTCCGGGCGAACTATCCGCGCCAAGTTACCTGAAGCTGTCAGCTCACCACGTCCAACCGACCAAGGAGTTTCTCTAGGCAGCGTGTTGAGCTCCATACTTTTCAACATAGCGATGGCTACCCTCCTTGGTTGCTTACCAACAGGACACTCCAATCTCTGTACAAGAATGACCATATACGCGGATGATGTTGCAATTTGGTGCGTCGGACCCTCGAAGAACGCGATTGCAATTCGCAATCGCCTTCAAGTGGCCGTTGATGCCTCGGCGCTAATGATATCAAAACTGGGCCTTACCCCCTCAGCTGAAAAAACAGCTTCACTTCTATACCGGCCTGCAGGTCGAGAACCACAAAATACACCGCAGCTGAAACCTGCTGGGATGCCACTGAGAAGGGTTTGACAGCACTCCTATCTCGGAGTCGTCTTGTATGACTGCGTGACTTGGAGACCAGAAGTTCATAGGACACTGGGTCGATGCTGACGGCTCTTGCGAATCATACGACAACTTGGAGGATGCTCTTGGAGCGCTCCACCAACGCGCTCTTTTCCAACTTTAAAAGGGTCTTATAATGTCCAGGTTTCTGTACTCGCTCCCTCTTTTAGCCATTGTAAGAGCCCAAATTAGAGACCTTGACACATTCCACCGAATTGCTTCTCGCAGCTGCTTGGGGCTCCCCCATTTGGCGGAAAATATTGCGACACTTGTATCTTCCGAGGAATGGCCGCTTTCCCTAAGACTGGAGGACAGAGCCATGCACAGCATTAGTCGCACGAGTGGTGTGCCCTCCGAGTCTAGCATCCGATGTCACCTTCGGGCAAGACGAAACTCTCACCTGGGGCACTTGATATTGCGATTTGATCGAGAGATTGGAGGCCCTGGAGGGTTCCTTCCTTCTTTGCCTCCGCATTCGACACGTCCACCACTGGTGATATTTGAGAGTCTACATCTTCCAGAGCGAAAAGCAAATGTACCGACAACTGTTGAGAGGTCAGCTGCCATAAAACGCCTAGATGACGACTACAAGAACTGGATTCGGGTATTTACAGATGCATCGATCAACAGGACCAAAAAACAGAAACAGTTGCAATCACAATTCCAGACATGGACTTCGATGTTGCTTGACTACTCAACTTTGTGACGCCATCAACAACGGCAGAGCTGGTGGCGATTTGGGGAGTGCTCGAGTCTATCAAGAACATTACGCTGCCCACCATGGCTGTAATTTTAACCGACACTAAAGGTGCACTCCAATACCTCCAACGAACTGATAAACTTAAGCCACTACTTGCTACACTGGAGGATCTAGGGTGGACCCTCGCCATGCAGTGCATCCCGTTTCATGTTGCAATTTCCGGCAATGAGCGAGCAGACACACTGACTGCAAGGGCCCGTGACGATCAGGCGCCGACATTTCTCTTGGACCGATTCAACGAGGCGCATCAATTTATTTATGATGAGCTTCAGCAATTTCATCCACATCCTGGACTGGCGATTGGCAAGCCGCCTCCAACGAATGCTCGGAACCTTCCACGTGCCGACGCCTCACTGCTACACAGACTCCGGGCTGGGTGTCCATACACGGGAAAGCGGCTTCACACGATGGACCGCAAACACGACTCCAACTGTCCAGACTGTTGGCATCCAGAAGATTCCGAGCACGCGCTCCTGTTGTGCCCTGCTCATGAACCCAGAAGAGCGCTTCTTCAGAGTTGCGCCCAAGCAGGACTTGTAAATGGCACTTTCAGCGACATATTGAATCCTGAAGGCTACCGGGAATGACAGAAAGAGCGTTCCGTGCACTTCTACGATTCCTTCGAGAAACAGGCCTTGAAGACAGACTGACTTTACTAGGGGGAGTCGGCCAGATGCTGGTAATGGATCAAAGTCAAATTTGGGGGTTTTACGTGCCAAACCAACGACGGGCATCTGGCACGCCCCAGCGGAGGACTGAGGATCAATTTGGACCACCTGGGGATCTTTTGACGTGCAACCGAAAGCTCGGTTACACGGCGCCTCCTCCTCAATAAGCCTCCGTCAGATTGCGGGCACCTCGGCCGGGATTCGAACCCGCCACATGGGGATCCGTAGGCCAGCGCTCTCGCCTCGGAGCCACCGAGGCGGTTATGCTGGTAATGGATCACGTTTCCAGCGAAAGAGTGACTAGAGAGTTTTAGCATAGCGGTGCCGCGGTGCCGTTTCTGTTGCTGCGATGCCGGGACTGGGCTGGGGCCGTACCGGAGGAGGAGGAGGGGTGATGTTTTGGCCGTCCGTCATGCGAGAGCCGCGCTGGAACAAAAACTCCAGGGCAGTGGTGCACGGTGGCTGGCTGGAGCGTTTTCTCGCGGTCGGTTAGGGGTCTGCTCTCGGCGTGGTGGGGACAGTGACGTTATTGCGGTGGCGTTGTGCTGAACATTTCATGTCCCTTCTTGAGCCTCTCTGCATAGCACTCACAGTATGCAAACATTAGCCTTTTTCTTGTTACTTTTATTCTCTCCTATTCCCCTTTTCATTCCCTTCCCTAACCCACCAGGTAGCGACTCACCGCATCAACGGAGGCCCACAATCTCCTGTTGTCCACCTTTCTCGTCACCCCAGAAATAAACAAACAAACAAGGCCCGCGCATCTACCAGGTACCAGGGCACTAATGTTGACGCATTGCAAGCCGTTAAAGCTACAATTCGGCCTGTGCAGGTGAGTTATAAGGCTGGGGGGACATATTGTAAATGGCCAATTGTCAGTACAAGTTAAAATAAATAATTTGTTCAGAAACGTTTTAGTAGGTGAAAACAGTCCTGCACCATTTGGGCCAGTGGACCGCGCTTCCTACGCGCTCCAAATATATATATATTTCTTATTTACCTATTCAGTGGTTTTCGACGATGCTCAGCCCATTTCTGATTGAAACTAGCGAACCAGCGGGCGACACCACGTACACGGTAAAGCAACAGGCACCAGCCCATGCACAGCGAACGAGGCAAGAGCCACGCGCCATTAGCGGCAGAAACGCAACACAACCTCCGATGGAACAAGCATAGCTACAACCCAGACTCAGCTCGCCTACCTCACATTATCTCGGACTCTCGTAAATTATGCAAGTAACGAGTGTGTCAACAAAAGAAGCCTCTCGGTACGTTACTACAAACCCATAGGCTTTACGCTAACTAAAATGTAACAAGGCTACCTTTAGTATGTCCCCCCGGCCGTATAACTCAACCTGCACAGGCAGCATCATTCTGACTTACATGATTTTCTTTCTTCAAATCTGTAAAGCCTAAAAAAATAAAAAAAAACCTATGCGGTTTAAGTGAATATAATGGCAGGGACTGAACATGTCCCGTCATTGCCACAGGTGTAAACATGCAGTCAAGCTAGGGCGCCCGAGCTCCTTGAACCCCTGCGAAACTTATTCACACATATTCACTTGTAACTAAAAAGCCACATAAAATGGGCCCCGATTATACCGGGTTAGTGAAACCTCCAAACCTATTTTACTTGAAGCTATTTCGAAAACATGAACAACTACGTTAACTTTACCCAACATTTTTTACAAGATCGACTTAATAATATTGTCACGAATGACAAGTGATGAGGCAATAATGACTGAAGAAACTAAACGTTTAATGGGGGCGAACTTGTGCCCAAAAATAAAAAGGAAACAGAAGATAACAGCAGAGCGTCGGGGGCGTCGAAGTCGGCGAAAGAGCAGAGTCGAACGCTGGGGCGAAACTCACCCCGGCTTGCCACGCGGAGCCGCTTTTGTACACGCGTGGGCTTCTGGAGCATTCGGCGTAGACGGTTCTCGAATTTACCGGAATACTAGTCTGCAGGAATAAACAAAAAGATGCGCCGCTCCCAGGAATCGAACCCTGGCCCTTCGCGTGGGAGGCAAGCGCGATAACCGTTAGGCCACGGCCGCGCTGCCTACTTGGCGCGCGGCAATATAGCACATTCAAAAACAGTCAGTTGTCCTTCCTAGATTCGACGGAAAACGACGTTTTCAAAGTGCCGAAAGGTCACCGGTAAATTCCGCCACTTAAAAACTTTGAAGTGATATTCAAACCTTCATTATACTAGCAATGTTCGACCGCCGCTACATTCCTTCGGGGAGGCCGCGCTGGCGCAAGAAACGAGCCAAAAGTTGTTACGATCACTTTATTTCAACGAGCAAAGAGCAAGCAGGGACGACAAGGGTAAAATAGCCGGACAACATTCGAACTGACAATGATATTCACGGTACGTGACTTCTATATAGGAAGAGCCCTATCATTCTATCAATGGGCTCAGCTTGCTCAACTATACTGTATGAAAAGCTACATAAAGAGCCGAATGCGTATATAGCGAGAGAGCTGAGCAATTCAAGCGTGACAGATGACCTGGTAACCTAGGATACCCAAACACCACAAAAATCGCTTTTTTTTTCTTTTTCTTTTTTTTTTTCGAGGGGGGTTGTTTTTACTGGGATGCTATGCTTATGGATCTTGTGTAGCATTCCCGTCATTTCTTTGGGCTCACTTTAGGAGAGCCTTCTTCACAGATCGAATCCACAAACGCATTTATTTCAGGGAGGCTGGCTTCGAGCCTGGTCAGAGTTTCTTCGACATCGTCTACCTGCCCAGCACCAGCGGGCTGATCTCTGTTGGGCTGGAAAAGGAAGGATGGCCCTGGACGATCCAAATCCCGTATGAAGGTCAGCAAGTCGGAGATATACTGCGTCTGGTCCGGAGGAATAAAGGCCGTCTGAAAGAAATTCAAGATTCGTTCAAACAAGTTGTGCAACTAACTGTGGTCTTTTGCAACACAAGGGTGAGGAGCCCCTCCCACGAAATTCTCCGCTTGCCATGATTGGTGCTTTCCTTCTCTCCGCTCGCCTTTTTTTCAGCGTTCGCTTTGCTTAAGCAAAAAGGGTGAAGGGCTTTGCGGGAGGAGCTTAATCGTCGTCCCTCGAAACATCCCTAATGTCGCTGCAATGTTGTCCCTTGTCGCTGGCAGAGGTTTTGAGTCGCTTTATATCTATCTTCAAACCCAATATTGAGTCGCCGCTAATCAAAGACACTGCTGTACAGTGACCAACGAAAAGAAATGGAACAACGGAGCGCATGATTCCGCTGGAGAAACCTTGCGATGCCGATGTCGCGAGTCGTACAAGTGCACAGCTGAGCCTTGCACACAGCAGCTGTTCGCTCTCGGTGCACAACTTTCGAAGGGTTATTGACGCTATAGCCATTGACATACAGAACGCACGTATTTTTTATATATTCTTTTTACTCCCAATAACGTGCATGTTATTCGCAATGGCATGCAACTTGTCCCGAACATCACAGAAAAGAGGAAAGAATTGACCACCCCTGGCACAGAGCTCAGTTTATGCTTAATAAATGTGTAGTACCCAGGATCCTGGGTTCAATCCCCAACCCTGCCCGTTTCCATCTGGATGAGCATCGTAACCGGTGTGCGGTCGACTATCTCTACTGCGTGATGCACGTTAAAGACGCCAGGCTAGCAGTTGTACTGCACTGGCTAAATTTCTCATCTACAGCTGGAAGACTCGTCGCACGTTGAGGCCGACCAAGTTCTAGACTGTATAAATATACACACAACTCTATTATTTTTTTATGTGTAGCGTCATGGTACGTGAATTTTTTATTCAAATAATTAAAAATAAAGCTTTGTTTTTACGCGTGGCGATTTAGATTTAAAAGGAAAAAAAGAAAAAAAGACGGTTGAATTAGAAATGTGTGGTCTGCAGTGATAACGGTTCGGAGGTCTCGACCCGAGTGCGGAAAGTAGCCGACTGCTCGACTCAGCTACGCGCATGTGGGTCCCGCCACACCAAATCGCACGGTTCTTCTCGGCGGATGGCGCAGCAAGTACGCGTGGCCACGCGTTCCGCTGGTCCATTTCGTCTCGATGAGCACTGATCACTTTGTCCTACAGTCTCAACGAACCGAGGTATTGAAATTGCTAACGATGAAGTACGAAGTAACCGAGAGGCTCTCCCCCATCGACTGAAACTGTTTGAAAAATTGTATAATTAATCAACCAACACGAGGACACAAGGTAACCACAAACAAGAACGCCGAACTGTAGCGTCTACACATTTACCCCACAACGTAGGAAAGCTAACTTCAAAAGCCTTGGCAAACACCGTTCTCAAAGCAGACTTGTGCCTATCTCAAATACACTACTCAAGATACTGCATTTCAAATTCTTTTTGAAGTACTTGGTATCTTATTTGAGACTCCATTCTAATTACATTTCTGAGTATCTGGTACTGATTATCTCAATTACATTTGACATTCCGCCAATTCCCGAGTTTTTCCGTATAAAGTTGCGTGGGCTTCGCACGAGCAAACTTGTTCTTTCGAGCAACTAAATCCTGTTGCTAGCTCCGATAACTCCCGATGACTTAGAGTTAGCTCGTGAAAACATCGCTTCTATGCCTATTGTGACTCATATTTCACCCCAAAGTTCGTACAACGAAGGTTTTCCCCTCGCCCTCACAAAAGCGCCTTTTTTCCCCAGAGTTTCTTTCAAAAAATCCACAAACAAAAGGGGCGGTTCTACGGAAGTAAAGATTGTCACACTAAGGCGCAACACAAAACAGGAAACTACCCACGACAGCAATGCAGACTTCAGTGCCAAGAAAATAACGAATAGAAGAAAATGAGAAGTGAACACAAAAAGAATACTTTTTTTTTTTGCTTGTAGTACTGTAAAACCCTTAATGTTCGCGAGCCCTCAATTTTCGCGAATTTCACGAATTGGAGAATTCGCGAAATTTAAGGGCGCGCGAAAATTTCGGTCCTTAAGATTTTCAATGCAGGCGTCTGGAATTCGCGAAATTTAGTGGTCGCGATTATGTCATCTGTGACCGATTCGCGAAAACTAGAGGCCGCGAAAATAAAGGGTTTTACAGTATATTTAACCCAATTACGGCAAAACATCAAGGTTTTTTTTTTTTTCAGTTTGGCATTTATTGTTTTTGCGAACACTGTCTTTAAGCGAACTTTGATAAGCAGAGAACAGGACAGCTGAACTAGAAGCAGGATGACCTCTCAAAATGCCAACAAAGCGTACCCAACGTTGAGTGCCTTCCTGAACGCAACCTACTTGCACGCGATTAGTGCTGTGGCTATTATGTGGGCTCTCTTCGTTATTCATTCACTCATCTCCGTATTCCAAGTTCGTTTATAGTGAACTCGCCCTATAGGGAATATGAATTGTAGTTGAACGATGCGTCTAAGGTGCGCCGCAGGACGTGATATTCAACGATGTCATATAACTGAAATTACTCTTTTTTCCGGAAATTGTAACATGAATAAGTGATATCCTGCTCTTACGATTTTTTTTCTTCAATTTTGTGTTGTTGGGTGTTAATAAACCATTCTGGTAAACCCGATTTGAGCAACTGTATAATTGTGTTTGTCACTGATGTCGATACAGATTACGCAAAGCGAAAGCATCTTCTAAAGTAATTGAATTATATTTCTAAGTATTTGTACTCTACTCAAAATACTTTACAGCGAAAGTAACTTGAGCAGTATTTTAAATACACTATGAAACAGGTATGTATTAACTTAAATACTTTGAGTATTTTGTCCAACACTGTCTCAAAGCAATCCTAACCTACAGCGTGAACCCAGGATGAGTCGTTGACCCTTTGAAGAGACCGCACAAATCTTTCTTAACGTATCGCGCTACGATTTACACAGACGTTACCGTAGGTGATGCATTCATTATTTGAAAGTAAACAAATATGAGCGAAAAGAACTCCTTGTTTTGTTTTTCCTATGGACGAACGTCCAACAGTTTTTCTTTTTTACGCGAAATCATTGAATAGCATTGTGGGCCATTCTGACGTTCCTCGGTGGTTTTTCCCTTCACCGGCATGACGCGCGCGCATAGTCAGAGGCCGCGAGTGCCTCCGTCTTCGTCCTAGACTGTACAGTCTCCAACAATATAAAAGACCCACTCGGAGGGCGTGGCCTAGACAACGCCCGGTGGGGGCGCCGCTCGCGTTTTGGGAAATTCTATGTCGTTTCGAAGGGAGGGAAGGCGCTTCGTCAGTGCGCACCGAGATAATTTTGGTTGGGTTATCAAATTTTGCTCCCCTCGGAGCGATATGGAACTGTAACAACGCACGCCGCGTCTCGGCCACGTGCTCCCGGTGGGTTTTTCACATCGATGGAGACTGTACTATCTTCACAGCTAGCAGGGACACGTGAGCGCGTGGCATAGGGTGCTATCGGGCACTAACGGCCAGCCGCGCGACTGCTGCGGTGCAGATGCGCTGCAGCTCAGTGCTGAACAAGGGAAAAATACAATCACTGTTTAATCAAATAAATTAGATGTGATCTAAATCATATTTATTTCATATAAATCATTTATTTCGTTTGAATCATTTATTTCATTTGAATCATTTATTTCATTTGAATCATTTATTTCTTTTAACTCAGATTTATTTAATTTAAATCATATTTATTCTAATTCAGATTTATTTAAATCAGATTCGTGCGATTTAAATCAAGCTTAGATAATTTAAATCACTTCAGCTAAAAATAGCAACTTTTTATCACTAGATGTGCGTTTTTGTTATGACTGCCTAATATAAATATTTACTGCTTGGCCATTCTTGTTTTAAATACAAAATGCCTTTGGCAAGCAAAGACTGATCGACAAACGGTAAATAGAAATCTTTTCAGTATTATTCTGGGTAATAGTAGTGTTTGATTTAAATCATTATAGCCAAATCGGTGCGATCTAAATCACGATTTAAATCTTGATTGTTATTCTCGGCCTTGGTGCCGTGTCGTTGGAGTGCCACGCGCTCCCGTGTTCCCGCTAACCGTGAGTAAGATAGTACGATCGGCGTCCGCTGATGCAAAGTGTCTGAACCCGGCATACCTGGCAAGCTTGCAATTATATGTGCCCCGCCCACACAAGAAAATACAGCGAAGAGGCCAAAATGCCCCGCTATCAATTGTGCATTAAAGCTTCAAATTACTCTTGACCCATCGTGCCAAAATCGTAACTTACCAGCCGCAAGCCCGTTATTTCAGCAAGCGAGCAGAGCACGGAAAACTCAAGCTGTGGCAAGTCTGAAACGCACATGCTTGCCGGCACCCACGCATACAGTCGGCAGCAAACGTTTGCGGAGCACAGAAGCGCCGGCCGAAAGGACTTGCTGCGCCTTCTGACGTTAAGTTACGTTACGAAACATTACGATGAAGTCACCGGGACCTCTGTGCTTCATATTAAGCGAGGCAACCAGTTCAGGAGAAAGCATGACTCGCGACATTCGAGACACGACTGTTTCGGTCAAATTTGGGGGTTTTACGTGCCAAACCAACGACGGGCATCTGGCACGCCCCAACGGAGGACTGAGGATTAATTTCGACCACCTGGGGATCTTTTGACGTGCAACCGAAAGCTCGGTTACACGGCGCCTTCTCCGCAATAAGCCTCCGTCAGATTACGGGCACCTCGGCCGGGGTTCGAACCCGCCATATGGGGATCCCTAGGCCGGCGCTCTCGCCTCCGAGCCACCGAGGCGGCTAATGTTTCGGTGACTTATACGTAACGTAACTTAACAAAAACAAAATGGGGCAGTGTGAACCAGCCTTTACCAGTTTCAGTCCTACGCGCATGAGATAACCGAGACCGCCGCAAGGTGCCGCAAAACGACATCTGAAACACTCGAGCTTCGTCACTCATCGCGGTGGTTGAGGCAGACGCGGCATAACGGCTTACAAAGCGGCATCTTGCGCGCGGTCCCGGTTATCCCGTACGCGTCGGACGGAAGCAAATAAACCAATTACATAACCGCACGCACGAAAGTATGCGCATGCGCAAAGCGTGGTACTTGAGCGGTGGCGCGCCGTCAGGAGGAGCAGGGGCGCATTTCGGCTGGCGCTCCCACGTCCCCCAAAACTGTTGCAGCCGACTACGTATAGTACACATGCAAGGCCTGCCTGAAATATTCATCGGCGAAACCAGATGCTTGAGTACCATGCTGACTGGGAAGTATAAGACGCCGGTTCTAGAAGCGTGCTACGTTCCTTTGAGCCGGGCAAGCGAGGTTTATAGATTGCGCTGTATACAAGGATAGTCGATAGCAATTCGAATGACTATGAAGCGTTACCTGGGAACTTCCGTCCCGGGCTCTTGATCTGGTGAAACTTGCGCTTGGCTGTTGACTGGTGGTCCGAGCATCGGTGAACACTGGGGAGCCTCTGGGGGCCCTCATGCCTGAAAAGCTCGGGAAAGTCGAGCAGTCCTCAGCCCAAGGGAAGGCATTGGCAACTGGTCTTGTGTCTCCACGGGCTCCCAAGCTGTCGTCGGGGGCGCGCAGACCCGAATAAACCGCACGTTTTGTAGATTCCCGAACCCAGGACATGATATCGAGTTCGCGTTGTGTGGCAAACTGCTTGAAGTCAGTGGGGTCGCTCGTGCCACCGCAGGCCCCAGGTGTGGCATCGTCCTCGGCGCAGGCTGAGACATTTTCACGGTAATCCATCGATTCCTGGGAGGCGGCCTCCGCTGCCAACGTGCTGGGCGTCGGCGAAGTGTCAGCCTTGCTTTCTTGAGGCTTGGGTACCTCGTCGCACATGTTAACGGGCCCTGTTGTGACGCAGGTCCCAAACTGAGACCGCAGCTGCTGACACGGAGAGTGCGGCTGACGATGCCTAATGTCGCTGAACGCTTGCTGCCGATTCTGGCAGGGCCTTCAAAACCCAAACTCGAACAATCTGTCGTTAGCGCTTCGGTCGACGGTCGAGCTTGCTGTGCTCAGTTCCAGAAAGAACGCACGGTTACATCCCGAAATTCAAACCGGCTATTTCATTGGTTAGCAGAACAAAGTGATACTGGTGCTGATAGCGAATTATAAAACAAATTAAAATAACAAAAATGATTTGACTTGGTCCTTATCGTGAACAAATCAGAACATTTTAGCCACGAGACGGTGAAATCGTCGTGCGTGCTTGAGTAAAGGATTAAACTGGGCTTCATATTATCGTGTTTTGGAACGGAGCAGCATACTTTGTTACGCCAAAAGTAAGAGCGCAGTCAAGGGCTGGAAGGCGTACGAACATGACGCACGTACTATAAGCACCAGATCACCGTGGATTCACTGCGCTTGATTGGTTAAAGCAGACTCACAACAAAATAAAAAAAAATATCGTGACGGTGCATTTTTGGCGCTCTTTGATTGGCCTCTTCGGCTCGTAGAGTCGGTTACGCTCTGGCCTAATGTGAAACAAAGTTAAATGAAGGTATTTGACGGCGCTGAAACTGCGTGTTCGTCTGCATGCAGTGGACCACCACCACCCTCCAGACCTCGGAGATAACGCTCGAGGTTTCATCTTGGTTACATCGCCTTTGTACAGTTCGTCAGGACAAAAAAAACGCCCCCCCCCCCCCCCCCCCCCCCTGCCAGTGAGATATAATTGATAAACATGTCGGCATTGCTACTGTGACTGTTGAGGCCAGTAGAATTTCAGCATATCTCTGCACTTCGAGACTATGCCTCCGTTTACTGTTCCACTCCAAAAACCAAACATTTGTCTAGTTAGGGATCTAAACAATTTGCACGTCCCCCGAAACTTTACAAAAAAAAAAAAGACAGGTTTTTCCATTAAAAAGAAATTGCCTAAAGCGCAAAACAAAACGTTATTTTTTTTTTAAATCATTCAAGCCACAAGCATTTGCACAGTGATCACAGAGTTGTGCTCTTACAAAAAACATTTTGCAATAATTTGAGGTTTAGGTACTTATTTATACTCTTGTTTTTCTCTGGACGCTGTCGTGCGTATCCGGAATTCAACAGTTTTAGCAGAAGACGCGGTACCGATATGAGCAATATACTGGTCCCCAGCCTGAATAAGAGCAGTTTCCGCACCTGCACGTCGCGGTGGCCAGATGTCCTGCTTGCAATCGTCTATAGCCAGCCGGCAACAGCCAGGTAGCGTCAACAGAATGAGAGCCCAAGGTTATACCCTGTCTCGTTGTACCTTGGCAAAGGGTGAACGATATGCGCTACATATGCGAGCGCAACGCACACATATTGGAGCATGACGTAGCGAAAAGCGCAGTAAAAGCGCACTCCAGTGATACGTAGTCACGTTCCGATTGGCCCGCCAGGGCCGTAGCTTGCGCCGTACTGGCATGTTATGCGATCAAGGCTTCCTGGCCCCTACCCAGTATTTCTTCCTTCCGACGCTCGGCTACCCAGCGCCACCAGAGTAATAGCCCACGTTTGAACGATGCAGCCGTAACTCCCAGGCATACCCAATGTTTCTTGCTTCAGTCGCTAGATAGCGCCAAACCAAACAGCATTGCAGGTTGCCTTTAGAGTAAGTGAAAAAAAAATGAAAGACGTTCATCCCCTGTAACGCCGTATTAGAGCGCAGCTCTTGAGGTCGAGGAGGGGAAAGTACGGAGAGGAGGCTATATAGGGGGGGGGGGGGGGGGGGGGGGCCCATCCACTCTTACTCGCCTCCCATTTTGGGAAAAATTTCCCCGCTAAATTTAGCGGGGAATTTTTTTTTTTTTTGCTAAATTCAGCTTGGAATTGTTTTTGATAAATTTAGGGGGGAAATTTTTCTGCTAAATTTAGCGGGAAAACTTTTTCACTAAATTTAGCGGGGAAATATTTCCGCTAAATTTAGCCGGGAATTTTTTCCGCTAAATTTAGCAGGGAAGTTTTCCGCTAAATGCTAAATTTAGCGAGGAATTTTTTCCGCTAACTTTGGCGGGGAATTTTTTCCGCTAAATTTAGCGGGGAAATTTACCCATAATGCACCGCGCGGTTACGCCGACGCCGGCGGCGACGGCGCTCAAGCCGGCAACAAGCGCCAAAGAGATGCGCTCTAAAAGCGCCTCAAAAATACGTGGACACGAGAAAGAAGGAAGAGAAGCGCTTGGTTCTGTTCCTTCTTTCTCGTGTTCACTTATTTTTTATACGCTTTTTCACTTAAATATTTACCAACAAGCCCACATAGCTATTTTACCTCAAGTCTATAGGGTTTTTTCACGTGATGTCAATCCGTCACATTGTTGTTTGCATGTTCTGCGATGAAACCCATAAGCCCCAGTGCACACGTATTTGATGGAGTCAAATACATCTTTCAAATGTTCGCCTTTGGTACGAGCCAGGCTAGTTCTAACAACCAAACAGTGGACATAATTACGCCAATGAAAACACACTATAGTCGCAGTTCCGCCCTCCTGCTGAACGGTTGCCTCAGCGATGGTCTACTGCTGTGTTCCGAACTTCCATTGAAACTCGGGAAAGGCTTCTAGGAGTCTTTTCACGAGCTGCCCAGCGATGACTCTTTAAGCAGCGTGTGGAAGACGAAGATACCAAGGACCTATAGCTGTTAACGACAAATCTCAATTTACTGTTGTTTGCAGCAGGCGCTTCAAGCCAGAGGATTACATACCGGGATGGCGCATAAAAAAAGCTGGCCTCTGCACTCTAAAAGAAAAAACTCCGTTCTTGAAAAGTACTTTGACGCCCCAAGAACTCGTTCAGCTTGTGAAGAACGGTTTCGCCTCACGCACTATCCCCCCAGCCGCACTAGAAAGACATCTGGGCGATAAAGCTTGAACTCGTTCGCATAAAAAAAAAAAAGAACACCTTATGGGTTTTTTCAGCAAAAACCTTTATAGTGGGTGCTTAAAAGCAATTTTTACGGTGCAAAATATGGACAAGCCGAAAAACCCCAAGAGTTCCTTTATGACAGGATTTTTCTTTTTATGGTGCATATCCACACACACACGAATGTTTAGAACTCTGATTACTTTCGCCTCGCTGGCCCGCTGTATAATTTCAGAAATTACTTTGTACGTTTATTAAAAAAACTGTTCTGAAAAGTAAAAAAATTAAAGACGTTGACAAATCTCTGTAATGCGAAATTAGAGAGCAGCGCTTGAGGAGGAGGAGGAGGAGGGGAGGAGGAGGAGGGAAGGGTACAGCATCCACTCCGTACCCTATCCTCCTCCTCCGGGTTAAGTTTCCCCGCTAAATTTACTGGGGAATGTGACATCCCGGTATGCCGAGACAAAAGCACTCCCGTCGGGAACCGCTGTGGAAGTAGCCAAGTTTTTCGTTGAGTCTATCGTAAGAGATACTCCGATTGAGCCACACCGACCACCGTCGAACAACGGCATACCACCCGCAGACCAACGGGCTAATGGAGCGATTAAGCAAGACCATAGCCGACATGATCTCGATGTACGTGGACGTGCACAGAAGACGTGGAACACAGCTCCATCCACTGCTGTCGTACGTCCAGGTTGGATCTCGTGGAAGTACAGGCCGGGGTCTTTGTTTCTTAATTTCGAAGTGCACGACGGCACACAACAGCAACGCATGATAGATCTGTCGAAGAGTCAAAGGCAGGCCAAGGTATAAGCTCAAAGACTGCGCTTGAACGGAACCGCGCGCCCGCATGTGCTTGGCTTGGCTTGGGTTGGCTGATCGGTTTTCCTTTTCCAGTACGCCACGTAGCGCCCCGAGCGGCAATGGGCAGCCAATTCACTCCGTAAGTGTGACGCAACGTTACTAAAATACACAGTTGGGAAACTCGCCGTCAAAACCTGGGCCGCTGGCGTCCACCGAGACCGAGCTAAATACGACAACAGCGCCACTCTTTATCATTTGTCTGTACTGCGGTCAACTTGAGCTTTTAGAAAGCACGTTTTTGCGTGAAAATAAACTGAAAAGACTCTTTTTGTTTGAAATTTATTGGAGTTTAGTACAAAATGAACGGCGCGTGATGTTTTTAAAACCTCAGCGGTGCTTTCAGGTAGCGCGTCCCGACCTAGGTGCATTTTAACTTCGGTACTAAGACGCGGCGCGTCCGCCGGGGAGACGGGGCTGGCACCCCTGTAACCAGACTTGTACGTAATCCGTTACAAGTAATGAAATTACTTGTAATCCCTTCCATTTATCAGTAATTTAGTAACGGAATAATTACATATTTTCTAGAGTAATTTTAAAGTAATTCCCTTACATTTTTCACGTAACGGATTCCTTGTAATCCGTTACATTTTTTTGGTCAGAACCAACCCCCCCCCCCTCCCCTTCTAGATAAAGTTTTTTTTTTTTTCTTTTTTTTTTTTCATTTTTGTAAAATCGAGCGCAGTGACACTATCACGCGAATTGACCAGCGCAAAAGGGGGCTTGGCACCTCAGTGCCGCAGAGCCTTTTTTTTTTTTTTTTTTGCAACACTAAGCCTTTGAATTTATTTTTTTTTTAGACCCTAACAACAATGTCAAAAAATCCAAATAAACGTTTCTACACATAAAAAGGGGGGGGGGGGGGGGGGGGGGGAGGGCGGAGGGGACAAGTATTTTTCCCTTTTTTTTAGTCCCTCTGTTTTTTCTTTGCGACCGAAGACGGGGAGAGGAGAACACCAAGTGATTGTGCGCCTCTTCGAGAAGCTTGATGCGGTAAATGCACTGAAAATAATTAACTACGACCATTTTCATAATGTCGCAACACGAGACAACGCTCCGTCTGCCCTACCCTTTTTGTGAGTGAGCTTTTCGCGAGCACTTAAAAAATGGTAATAGTCTTCCCTTCTTCTTGTTCCTGTTTTGTCCCAGCAGGGCCCATCTTATCTCAGGCAGATATTTTTACAAATAAAACATAACGGTGGCAGACGTAGACTTGATATTCTAGGCTTGAGGAAAGAGTGAAATTCGTGAGTGGGGCCATAGCGCGGCTTACTTCTACCCTTTGCTGCCCGTGCCATCAGCGGACGTCTATCTTGAAAACACCGGAGTAAACTGCAGTCGATTCGTGC